CCTGAAGAAGCTGCTGAAGTAGCATTTCCATCCCAAGGTGTCCGTTATCTCATGGCGCCACACCTTCGAACAAAGGGATCAACGGTCCGGTGAGTCAGCCAAGGAATACATCGCCGCGTTACGGAAGGCCGCCAAGCCCTGCGAGTTCAAGGACCTCAAGGAACGACTGAGGGACCGATTCGTGTGCGGGTTAAGGCATCGAGAGCTACAACAGAGACTTTTCGCTAAGGAAGAATTATCCTTCCAAGACGCCTTAAGGGAAGTCACCGCAGAGAACAGCAGGCGCGCCGTCAAAAACATGCGCCGATTCAGCAACTGTGAGGAGGGTGCGTCGTGCACCAAGGAAGACTCCAACGAAACCCGATGAGTGATCCGGACGAAGAAGTCGACCGTCTACACCCCGCGAAGGAAGAGAACCAGAAGGGAAGCTCTTCGGCTCCGCTCAATTGCATCGGCTGTGGAGGTCGCCACAGGAGAACCGACTGCAAGTTCCGCTCCGCTACCTGCCGGGCATGCGGTAAACAAGGGCACATTGCAGCTGTGTGCCTGGGCCGACGAAAGGCACAACCCCAAGAAGAACGCCTGAAGGGTCCCAGATTCCCCAGCCAGAATAGGGTAGGTTTTTGCGCTTCGCGAAGAAGCATCTGTAGAACAGGCACACACAAGCCCATGAAGAAAAAGCTGTCACTCAACGTGAAGCTACAAGGGGTTCCATTATCTATGTAACTAGACACAGGGTCTGCCCTGTCCATCATTTCATTGCATACATTTAGGAAGATTTGTTCCAGAAGTGGGTCTAAGGCCAAGTTAAGGCCTTCTGATATTGTATTAACAGATTTTCAGAACTCAGAGTGTGTGTTAAGGGGGAGGCCACCCTTAACGTGCAATACAAGAGTTTTGAAGGTCCACTAGACTGATTAGTAGTAGGGGGTGAACGAACGAGTCTCATAGGACTCGATTGGTTTGAGGCCCTGGGGATACACGTCACAGGACTCAACAGCTTACACACCCTCGACCTACAGGAAGTCTGCAAAGAATTTGCAGATGTTTTCAGCCCCCAGCTGGGCACATTCAAAGGACCCCCTGTGTCCTTAAAGCTAGACCCCCCTGTCACTCCCATTAGAATTAAAGCAAGAAGGGTCCCTTTTGCTTTAAAGAGTAAAATTGACACTGAGTTAGACAAACTGATCCAACAGGGAATCCTAGAACCTGTTGATTCCAGCCCTTGGGAGACCCCATTGTCACGCCTCTAAAAGCAAATGGGGACATTCTCATTTGGTGCTGATTACAATGCACACTCAATAAGGCATTGCAGCAACATGCCTATCCTGTTCCTGTGGTCAGTCACATCCTGGCTCTCTCAAGGGGGGGCTTGTTTTTGCAAAGCTTGACTTAGCGTCAAGCATATCAACAGCCTGCCTGTTTGAGGATAGATGCCTGCCATAGCTCAGACCATTGTGACCCACTAGGGGACCTTTAAGGTAAAAAGGCTACAGTTTTTGAGGAATGTACGCTCCTGGGATTTCCAAAGCGTTATGATCGTCAGTGAAAACCACTACCGAGGTATACCGGGGTCTGCCCCTACTTTGACGATGTCTTGATTTGCAGAGACTCCCACACACATCTAGCTGAAAGGCTAGGCTGTCCTGTTAAGATTCAGGAAATCAGGCCTCAAGCTCAGAAAAGACAAATGCCAGATTGGGGTGCCTTCTACTGAATTTCTGGGATTCAAAATTGATGCTGCTGGATTCATCCTGCTGAATCCAAACTAACTGCTATTTTAGAAGCACCCAGGCCAAAGTCTAAGGCCGAACTTCAGGCCTTCCTAGGCCTCCTGAATTTCTACAATTCTTTTCTTCCACATAAAGCTAGTGTAGCTGAGCCTCTTCACAGGCTACTAGACAAACAAGCTGTGTGGCTGGGGTCACAAGCACATGAGGCTTGCTTTAAAGAAGTCAAGGCCTTGCTCACTTCTAACAGTGTTCTTGCACCTTTCAACGAGTCTCTTCCTGTGTGCATCGCTTGTGATGCATCCCCCTACGGGGTTGGAGCTGTCCTGAGTCACCTCAGGTCTGATGGAACTCAGGTTCCTATTGCATACTACTCCAGAACACTGTCTTCTGCCGAGCGCAACTACTCTCAGATAGACAGGGAGGCTCTGGCTGTTGTTGCTGGAATTAAAAAATTCCACGATTTTCTATATGGCATGCATTTCACGGTCTTCACTGACCATAAGCCTCTGCTGGGACTGTTTACCACACGTAAGCAGACTCCCCACATCATTTCCCCTAGAATGCTTAGGTGGTCTATTTTTTTGTCTGCCTATGATTTTTCATTACTCCACAAGCCTGGGAAAGAAATGGGCCATGCTGATGGCCTCAGTAGGTTGCCTCTGCCAGTAGTAGAAGCTGACCCCGCGCCAGCTGTCCACATTCTATCAATCCAAGCCTTGCCCGAGCTCCCTCTTAGTGCCAGGGATGTTACCGCTGAAACGGGTACAGATCACACACTTTCACGTGTCCGCTCCTGGGTCCTGTCCGGGTGGCCTGAGCACTGCCCTATTCCTGAGTTTCAGAGTTTCTGGTCCAAAAGAAACGAACTGTCCCTTTCTCAGGGTTGTCTGCTTTGGGGAAACAGAGTTGTCATTCCCACCTCACTGAGGACTAGGGTCTTAGAATCCCTCCACGAGGGTCATCCTGGCATTGTTCGTATGAAGGCTCTTGCACGCAGCCACTTATGGTGGCCTGTTTAGATAAAGATATTGAGGCTAAGGTACACGCATGCCACCTGTGCCAACGATCTCGCCCAGAGATGCCCCCAGCTCCTGTGCATAGATGGGAGGAAACACAGTCCCCATGGTCTAGGGTGCACATTGACTACGCTGGGCCCTGTCAGGGCCAGTTCTTCTTGGTCCTTGTTGACAGCCATTCAAAATGGCTTGAGGTTGTGCCTGTCTCATCCACCACCACTGCAAAGACTATTCAGGTACTGAGGGGGATTTTGCTGCACACGGGCTGCCAGATGTCATCGTGTCCGACAACGGCCCTCAATTCACCTCCTCCGAATTCCAAGCTTTCTTACAGGCAAACCTGATTCGTCATGCCCCGTCTGCGCCTTTTCACCCGTCCACCAACGGTATGGCGGAACGCATGGTGCGCATCGCAAAGGACGCCTTGAAGAGACTCACCTACGGGGACTGGCATCACAGGTTGGCTGACTTTCTCCTTTCTTATCGCACCACACCGTCCACTTCTACAGGGAGAAGTCCAGCTGAACTTCGTTGGGGCGCCAACTTACTACTAGACTTGACCGGTTGCATCCGGACAGACTGCCTTCATCTACCTCACATCCTAGGGCACCTAGACAACTACTTGTGGGTGCCCCCGTTTGGGCTCGCAATTACGGGCCTGGTCATACATGGGTCCCCGCTTCTGTGTCCAGGATCACAGGTCCTCTCGTCCCTCTGAGGTTTCCCTGAACAACGTGCGTGTCCTACGTCGGCACATCGACCAACTCCGCTCTAGGCGGGACTTTTCTGCTGAAACGCCTGGGTCTTTTCCAGGGGGGGAGGGGGACCCTTTGGAGCAAAGGGAAGGGCAAGAGTTACTGCCCATCTCCACTGAGGGAGCCACAGACGGCCCGTCCCAAGATTCTGCAATTGCTCCGAAAAGGAAGTCATGGAGCTTACCCACACAACAGGCATCCACGCCTACTCCATCCAGGGAGTCACCCCGGGGGCATACTCACTTTCCACACACATCACACAGCACTCATTCACGGAGGATACCCGGGGGCATCCCAACAAATCATTCCCCGCAAGAGAACTGGCACACAATTCCCAAGGGTGGCCTGACCTTACCCCAAATCCTACAGGGGGTCAAACATACACAGAGTTAGTCGAGGAACCAAGTCCCGACTACAACAACCCTAGCACAAATCAGGGAACACCTGAGTTTTTGGAAAGTACAGAAACCCACACGAGCCCGAACACAGAATGGGGTTCAGGGAATGGACAGCCTCCTGACAGGTCTTGGACTGACCTAGGAGGTTCTACAGAGACGCCCAGCAGCGGCATCCAGCTTCAAGGGCCCGAGGGTCTACAGCTAGGCAGGTCAACCAGGTCACAAAGCAACAGAAGGCCCTGGCCTGACGAGCCCGGTTGGCAAGCAAGCAGGCCAGGCATCGGGTCACAGTCCTTGGAAGACACCAGGGCACAATAGAGAGAATAGGCTCACGCCTCCCTCCAGTCATGGGACTTATGCCAGTAACCCACAGCTAAGAAGGTCACAGAGAGCAAAGAAATCTCCCAAGTACCTAGAAGACTACATAACAGTGCTGGCAAGGCAAAGGCCAGTAAACAGTGGGAGCACTGGGGAGCAAAATGTCATATAAAATAAATGTTGTATGTTGGTAGTAGTTTTAGCCCGGGGGAAAGGGGTGTTATGTCCCGAGCCTTTGCAAACGGCTCGGGCGTTTGCAGGCAGTCCCGGGCAGGTGCAAAGCTGCCCGGGACCAGACAGGCTGTCGCCAGCGCCGTGCGCATGCGCGGGTGCTGGCGCGGGAAAAGTAACCCATTTACCCGGGAGTTGCCTATATAAGAGGCTGCGAGGCGTTTGGGCGAGGCTGAAGCCATCTTCCTGTAAGCTGAACGCTGAATAAAAGAAACTGAGAACTCCAGCTGCTTCTCGTGTCTGCTTTCCCGCCAAGGACGCAACAAATGGGGAAATTGAAAAAGCATCCTGCAAAAAGATAATGGCAACCCACTTCCACATTTTGCCAAGACAAATTTTTGGGAAGTACTCAAGATTGTCACTAAAAGTAACAAAAAAGCCTGAAGAATATTTTACCATAGCTTTAAAACAACTGAAGTTTCGATGGGATTGTTCTTGGTGAACCATTCTAAACAGACAATCATAATTTTGTGCCACCATATACAGATAGATCTGTGTAATTTATTCTATCATTTCCTGTTGTGTTTTATCTTTTCAGATAAAGGCAGCCAGCCAGGCAGAATTTTGTGGTTTCTGTTCAAGTTCCATGGATGGCGAGGCGTGCTGTGATCCGTTCATCCCTGTTGTCCCCTCCCAGTTATTATGAAGCGGTACATGATGGGCGTGGACCTACAAGTCCTGAGTATCCTTTCTTTAGTGGCTGGTACCACTACTTGGGTCAGGAACCTCTTTCATACAAGCGACGTGGAGGCATTGTGGATCAACGTGATATCATCATGGCCCATCAGGCCCACAAAATCCACAACACACCACAGGCAAAGCGGAAGGAGTGGGAGTGAGTATGGATATATTTCATTATCTGATTCCCATCTGTCACTGGGCTTCTCCTTTATAGGCCAAAGCCACATAGCAGGAATTTTATTATCTCCTTCCCTCTGTCCCTAAACAATATATAGTTTGGGGTTAAGCAAACATGTATGTGGCTGGGGTGCATATTTGAAATCTTGAGAGCATAAAAATGCTTTAATAAATGGTCTGCCATGTTCCACAAGGGCAGTATTCAAATATCCAATTATTTTGGATTGGAAAGGAAAGTGAAAAGATTGTTCTGCATCAATCTCTGTCTCCAAAGATGCTCTTTACAAAGTGAATTTATTTTTGTTTTCTCTTTAAACAGTCACTAATCATATTTATTTTTAAGGAAGGTCCATATGGGCTTAGGCATTTTTATAAAACAAGACAAGCTGTTCTTTAAAAAGCTTACAAGATCTTTGAATGAAATTGAATCAGTTGGGTAGGGAATCTATGAGCCACTAGAAAAAGGGATATGCACAAATGTACTCAAGTGTCACACTGACCACTCTTATTCTAGTGATATTCTTCAGGCATTTTATTTCTCTCTCCAAAGTCCTAATCCTTCCATTCAGTTTAATTGTCTTGACTTCCCTTATATCCCTCCCTCATTTCATCTTTCTTTAGTTGTAGCTACAAGCACTCCATATTTCCTATCAACACTACAGGTGATGACATCTCCTGTCTATTAATATATTGCCCATGGATCTGTATTGAGAGTACTGTTTACTGTTAATATTTTTACTGAGTCTCATAGTTTTTGCAATGTTGTGTTTATATAGTTTTGATCTTTGACAGCAATTATAAAGAAACAAGACAATCCTATCAACTGAAATAGATGCACAACAGTAACTGGAGAATTTTTCTTGGTCTAACTGACCTTATCCTGAAAAGTGAACAAACTCTTTCGTCTTCTATGTGTTATGGGTGTTATATAGTGTTGTGTTGGGGAAAAATGTCTCATAATTTTAAAGGAAAAACCAGGCTGCAATTTTATAATATTCTATCTATAGTTTCTGTACTCTCATGACCTGCTAGCAAAAAGTGCCATCATATATTTCCAACTCAGGAGACAGTTCTATTCATTTCAACTGTGTTGACCCACAAGAAAGCAGGAATAAGATTGTCACTGAAAATGTGTGTGTTTTCCTGCAATACATCAAATCTATTTTCTACTAGTTCAAATACATATTTACTCTCTTACTTAGTTTAAATAATTCATGGTTATCGGGTTTCTGAAGAAGTGTTTCAACGATTAAAAAGGTAATAAGAAATTCTCCTGTACCAATTGCCAAAATAAATCACTTTATAATATGCCCCAAGAATGAGGCTTTCCATTTGTGTTCATTCACAGAGTAGAGAATAACCATAAGAATGTAAGAGGGATACACATAAAAGAAATGTGGAAAAGGACAGACAATTGAGGAAGTATCAGATACATGTTCTTCAAAGAAAGAAATAAGTTTAATCTCTTTGGATTAGAAAAACTGAACAGAAATGCAAGAAACATTTAATACATACTTGAACATAACTTTCAGATTAAAAGTAATTGATTTGTGTACAGGCCATTTTGCAGGACAATATTGAGTCATATTTTATTTTAATAAATGTAACCAAGCTTACAAATCTATTCTGTTTTAGGTTGTTCTTGCATACCAGTTCAGCATAAATTTCTGTTCTCTCAAGGAACCTGAATATTTAGAAAGGTCACAGCTGTAAGGTCAACTGCAGGTCAACTGTTTATTTAATATGTAATATTTTAGGTCATTTTTTTTAGTAAACCTAAAAATACAATAAATCCATCTGATAAATACATATAGAACAGTGCATTATAGCTATAGAGAAACTCTTGTTTGTGGGGGAGGGAAGGGACAGAAATTATATATACACTTCTTTATTTACAATGGTATTTAATATACACTATGGCCTTAGTTTAACAAATTATACATATACAATTCTACAAAGACAATTTCAAGTGGGAATTTTTACTGTGTTTCACTCCCTCTCTCATACATACAGCTTCTTCCTGTGCTTTCTCTTCCAGACTTACTTCTATTCTAAGGAAGAGAATGGAGGAGGAAAAAATAAGTATTTTCTGCCTTTCTTGGATCCCAGCACCTTTGTCAAGTTGCCTTTGGTGACCTCTGGTCTGTCTCCAAAAACTGCAGTCCTTTCCACCAGTCAGTTTGCTCAACAGATTGCTGTTTTGCATTCTGCTTGCTCTTCAGCTAGTTTCCTCCTCCTTAATAGATGCAATATCACTTCTCTATATCATATAAAAACAACTCTAGAAATGATCAACAATCTCCATCATTATTTAATGCTTCTTTCCTTTTATATGTTTGCAGCTACAAAACAGGTCTTTATATGTTTCTCTATAACTATGTGATACTAAGCCTGATTTTTGCCCCCTCCAGGGGAAAAAAAGTTTACCCTTGAGATCATTACATTATTCCATGTCTATCAGGACAACACAGTTTACCACAACAGGTAAATAAATAGAGTGTATGTACACACGTGCGCGCACACACACACAGAGATTGTGTCTCTGTGTGTGTGAGAGAGAAAAAATGGGAATATTCTATTAATTCTCTCTGGAGTGTCTTTGTCCCCCCCCCCAATCTTGCTGCACTCTCAAAGTTGAAACAAATCAGTGCTTGCCAATGCTATGAAGGCTTGCTGTTCTTTAAAGCCTGAATATTTAAAAATGTCAGAAAAAAACAAGATTGTTTTCAGTCCCCAACTTCTTACAGCTATGGAGCCTTAAGCCAGATGAACATAACATTCAGGCTCTGTTCCAGAGTTTTGCTGAAAATTGCTCCTTTTTGAGGTTTTCTTGCTACCTTCCCATCAGATGTAATTAACTATTACAAGCAGGTTAAAAAACAAATAAGAGCTGTGCAGGAAGTAAGGTAACTCAAGTATGTTCTGTATAGAAAGACAAGATGTACATCACATACATATATGCATAAATAATTGCCTTTTTGCAGTGGGAAGAGATTATTATACATCAAGTTCTTGTAGTTGCCTTTTTCCCAAAATAAAAGCAGCCAAATTTAGTGTGCACGTATAAATTCATAACTAGTGTGTGGAAATGTGTGACTGACTTTTTATAACTCAGAGAGATTTCCCTGACTAATTTGTTATTGACTGATGTCAAAAGATGAGGGCTAGGAATCAAGTCTTGTATCTTAGATCTTGGAAATCAATTGTACAGCAATCTCCCCATGTCAGCTAAAAGCCCCAAGTTAATATTGATACTGGTATTTCCCAACACCCCCACTCTTCCTCATTTTCTTTCCAAGTCATTTCCTTTTTTTGCTGCCTCTAAGAAATTGCAGCTTGTTGCCTTGGAAACAGTGATATCTGTAGCAAAGGCTGTTACTTTTATTGAGGGCTCAACTGCTTTGTTGAGGATAGGCAGAATTAGGATTGAAATAAGGACACCTCTCATACACTGGGAAGAGGGTTTTTTTTTTTTTTTGCATTAATATAAGATTCAGCTGGCTCTGGAAAAGCTGCTATGAAAACAATTGTGATGTTAGCATTTTGCAGCTACTGCATGGAAGTGACTTCCGTATGTGAAAGGGAATTCACAAAGATCATGAATGAAAATTTAGAGGAAATAATGCCTCTCTGTGGAGATTCCCTAAGCTTTGTCTCACACAAATTTAAAATTAATGGTGGCTTTGAAATTGCAGATCAACAGTTCCCTGAGCACTTTTTTACGTGTGCAGATAAAAATGAGTTATGCTTATGTAATGTATTTAATAAACCAGTGTCTGAGCATGTTATACCTGGGAGAACGTGGTGTTTCTAATTTCTTTTCTACAAAGGTTCCAGACAGACAAATGCAGAATAGTAGGGACACTCATCAATTAAAATGTTAGAATGAGATGTAATCTAGGAGGAAGGGGACTATCTCCATACACCATTGCTGAACCCCAAGATCATATAAATTTGCCTTTGGTAGCAAACAATTTATGAATTTGTTATGAGAAATTTATACAATCTAAAATGTTTAGTACATAATGCAACTTAAATATCAAAGTAACACACTGTAAAATGTCAGTTGATAATTAAGCAAAAAGTAAAATGGCAAGAGAGTTCTTCGGTTTGTATGTGCATGTTAGATTGTATTTTATAGAACTGCAATTTTATTTCTTACTGAAATTGATTACGCTAAAGCCCCAGGCAGTCCTAAGAAGGAATTGACATATCCACTGGTTTTCATCTGGAAATATCTTCTAAGTTCACTTTTTAAAAAATCTCCTTTTCAGAACAGTTTTTGATCTGAGTTTGGTAAGAGTGATATAAGAGGACAGGACTAGGCTGATGTTTCAGATCAAGTTTATAATGGCAATTCTAGACCCATTTTGTTTGTATGTCTAGAATGCCAACTGGAAGTCCAACAAAATCTTGTTTCTCCTAGTCAAAACTCAGAATGGTTATCAAAATCAGAGGGAACTCTGTTTCTGTTTTTTTCTTAAAAAGAGAGTCCCAAATGTGCTTTTTCAGGAGGCAATTGGACTTCCTTTTTTTTTTCTTTGAAGATATTTAACTTCTCATCCAAGAAGCTTCTTCAGCTCTGACTGGATGATGGAGAATGGAAGGATTTATATTCCTTGCAGATAGCTGGTCATTTGCATTCTTTTAGAGCAGGGGTGACAAACTCGTAATGTCACGTGACGTGTCGCAATATATCGTGATTTTTTTGCCATTGCCAGCAATGGGGTGGATGTGGTTTCGCCATGACGCAACCGTCCCGTGGGCGGCAGTTTGACATCCCTGCTATAGAGAGTGGTTGAGGCCATTTGGAGGTTTATCTTTGTCCTCAGGGTCACCTGAATAGTCCAAATGTGTATGGAGCCTTCTTGGCTGCAGGATGTTTTCTGCCCTGTGTCCCTTTCACTGTTGAAGACAGACACAGGCTGTTTGGGATGAGTCTGTGTTGTCTGCATCTCAAACTGAAGCTCAAATGAT